AAGACTTGTGTATTGAAAGCAGACCACTATAAAACTTGGTCATCTTCTCAGGATTGGGGGCTTGATTGGCTGTAACCCATAAATTCACAATCTTGCCTCAGCCTCAAATGTTAGGATTATAGGTGTGCACACCAAACACAGCCTCATCTCAGTAATTTCAGAATAGTCACCATACTGTATTTGCTTTAATTCATTTCACTTTGCCTGTTCCATGAAAGGTAATATGATGCAGAGCTTCTAACAGTGGGACTTATAACAGTGGGACTTAAAACATAAGGAAAGAGTAAGTGGCTGGCTATTCAGGCCCTCCATGGTGATACATACTTCACACTGAAGTCTTCATTGCTGCACATCTGACTAGAACTCTTGTGATCTGTCTACTTTGTCAACCTGAGTTCTTGGATTTAAGGCCTGTGCTACTACACTAGGCAGAATAGTTTTTTCAAATACTGGTTTTGTTTTTCCAGTTCAGGACTATAGAAATGCGCATCAAAAGGGCTACTGTAGGACCTGTGCTCTGGAGGCAGTGATTAAAGAGGATCTCTGATTTATATAAGATTTATATAACTCTTCTTGAGAAATCCTATCAAAAAGGGGGGAGGGCTACCATAGGGACTGGAGAGAGGGCTCGGTGGTTAAGGGCACTCCCTATTCTTCAGGGGACCAGGTTCAATAACTAGCAGACATTTGGCAGCTCAGCCTATTTACAGTCCCAGGAGGATCCAAGGCCCTCTTCTAGCCTCTGAGAACACTGTAGGCACATGAACTATGGACAAGAGCAAAACACCCATACACAAAACTTTCAAAAATGAAGAAAATATTTTAAAGACTGCTATAGCCAACAGGCTATAGCAATTGTGATTTGGATCAATCTTGCAGAATTTGTTCACAACATGTAAAGCAACTACCAAAGAAACTGAATAGCTGCAGGAAAAGTCTCAGGGTTCCAGCTGGTGGTGCAGCTGTAAAGTGCTTGGGAAACCTGAGTTCAGATTCCCAGCACCCACTGCACATCGTAAGACTGGGTGTTGGTGATGCATGCCTTTAATCCCAGCACTAGGGAGGCAGAGGCAGGCGGATCTCTGAGTTCGAGGCCAGCTTGGTCTCTAGAGTGAGTGCCAAGATAGGCTCCAAAGCTACACAGAGAAACTCTGTCTCGAAAAACAAAGTGGGGACGGATGGACAGACAGACACACTTTGCTCAGGTGTGTATTGTTTACATTTCATGCTGTGTTGTGTATGTATCTGTTTCACTGGTGACACCAAGGAGGAGGAGGAGGGAACCACACCCACCTTGTGTACCATTGTACCTGTGCCCCAAACAGAATGTGGAAACCCAAGTGCTAGGATTAAAGGTGTTCAATGTTGTGCCCAGTGTGGGGTTCATAAGAATTTGTTATGTAAACAAATTCTAAATGGAAGAGAGTTTCTGACCTTTCTGTTTAACCAAGATAGCCAACTCCAAAGTTATAGACCCTATTATAGCACAAACTAAGTATGACCCCAGGCTGTGTGCCCTCACAGCATAATCCAATATCAGGTGGATCCCAGAAACTGGAATCCTAGATTCTCTAGACTTAGGCCCTCCATCTAAAACCTGACCAGCCCACTGAGCCCAGTACAGTTTTGTCTGACAGAGAGCCTCTTCAGGACCCAGTCCTGTTCCTACTGAAGCCAGTGATACTGAGACCTCCCCTTCAGGACCCAGGCCTATTTCTGTTAGGACTTTCATAACCCAAACCATAACATTTGCTGAAACTTGACTCTATCCAAATCCACAGAGCTGTGGAAGACATCTTCCCAGTATTCCCAGTGGCAGCAAGAAGCCAGCAGAATCCCATCTGACAGTCTCGGGAACATGTTCTTAGAGGTGCAACCAACAAAGCTCTGACACACAGAGAGGGAACCACAAGGAAGAACTGATGGGTTGTTCTTGGCTTGGCCTGTTTATGGCTGACTAGTTCACTGTTGCAGGAAAGCCCAGTTACTGTGATTTCACTGTTTCAGTCTGGCCTGTTGGGCCCAGAGTACAGCCAGAGCCACGCCACGACCTCCTATCCATAAAACACAGGCTGTAAAGAAAAAAGGGCTCAGCAAAACCTGAGGTTCATGATCCTGGGCTTCTACTGTGGTGAAGTGGGGACGTTGCCTCCTTTCCTCCTCTGATGCAAATATTCTGCTTCTCACTGAGGCTCTGGAAGACCAGGTTCACAGCATGCATGCACGCAGGCAGGCACACTGCTCTCAAACACACACCATGCCTGGTTTCTTTGGACTGTTCAGGATACGTCTTAGAAGGTAGAGCGTGAAGGGTGTGGATCACATGACTACACATTCAAAGTGGCACCTGAGCAGACCAGGGTGCCGGCTATGTGTCAAGCTTTCCCTATCCCTGTCATGATGCCACTGGCATTTGCACATCTGGAACTCCACTGCTGGAAGCAGAAAGCAGGGTCACTTGTCATTCCACATTGGCTAAACCATTTGCACACATGGGTGGAAAGCTTGGCATGTCAATCAGCAGACATGTACAAAACCACCTGTATACACGAGAGTTAAACAACAAAACCCCCTCACAGGGTCTGTTTGTCGCTGTAGCACACTCTGAGAGCCTTGCAGGTAACTGGAGAGAAAATCAGGGCAGTGAGCCACTCACCTAACCAAATTGTCTCCTGTGTCCTGCACCACAGATTCTGCTCAGGCAGTCTGAGGTGAGGCCTAAGCAACTGCATTTCTAATGGATGCTGCAGGGGATCTAGACATTCCTTAAAGGTGGACCTAGGCCTGTTCTCTAAGCAAAAGCTAAATAGCATGGGCTCCTGAATACAACACAGTTGTAATGAATACACAACTACCAATCCTAGTGGGGAAACAGGAACAATACCAACAGAGGGCCCAGAATAGTGTAGGACTGACCCGGATTCTGACATGGTTCAGGGAACACGGTAGCACAGAATCCTGTAGGTGGGGAAGAATCCAGGAACACCCACCCCACCCCCCCGCCCCCCCCCCCCACCTCTCCCCCGCCCTCCCTCTCTCCCCCCCCCCCTCCCCCTCTCTCTCTCCCTCTCTCTCTCTCTCTCTCTCTCTCTCTCTCTCCTCTCTCCTCTCTGTTAAGGGCTATCGTTCAGATCTGGAGTCTGCCCAGCCTCAGAGCCAGCCCTGGCCCAGCTTTACCCTTACCCATGCTGAGGTGAGTCGGTCCTGCCCTGCAGGGAAAACTCCAGTCAGAAGCCATGTTGAAGACGATAACCTGCAGAGGTCTACAGCTCCTGCTTCTACTGGTTAAAATGGCTGCCAGGATGTGTAGGAGCTCCCAGAAGCACAGGTGTAGGGCGTGTCTCCTCAAGCTGGGTGGAGCATGCACTAATAGAAGGCAATCGCTCGAACTGTTGAGGGTGGGCCCTCTCTGGACCACCTGCATCTCCTTGGCTCCTCAGAGCTTTCTGAGTCAGCTGGTCAGCTGGTTGATGGGTTTGACTCTACACCAGAGTCTGAGGGAAGGCATAGGTCACTGGCCTGACCCCTCCATTTTGTTCCTCTCTGGCTCTCGTCTCCTTCACTTTTTTTCTTTTTTGGTTTTTGTTTTTTAAAGACAGGGTTTCTTTGTATAGCCCTAGCTGCCCCGGAACTCACTCTGTAGACTAGGCTGGTCTCCAACTCATAGAAATTCACCTGCCTCTGCCTCTGCCTCCTGAGTGCCGGGATTAAAGGCTTAGGCTACCACTGCCCAGCTGACTTTTTCCGGAAAGCTTTCTCTTTTGAATTTACCTTGGGTTCCAAGGATAACAGGACTAGTTGTTTTCTGTAGTAGCCATCTTTCTGACAAAGAACCAAAACTAATTATGAGCAGTGTGCCTAAAGGGATGTGACACCCCACAGAGAGATCAATCCACATAAGAGGGCAATTACCTGTGAAGGTGAAGGGACCAGCTCCCCATTTCGGCAGCCATAACAGCGGAACACATGCTTGTCTGACCTTGCCTTAGGGCAGTGACCTATGCCCTCCCTCAGACTCTGGTGTAGAGTCAAACCCATCAACCAGCTGACTCAGAAGAGGTTAGATCATGACAAGGAACCAATCAGAAGTTAACTGGTGGCGCTATGCTTTACGGCTCTGGGTGTGCTTTATGGACAAGTGCACAGCAATGAGGAGCATAGCAGAGCAACCACCCTGGGAGGGCCTATGGGCCATAACAACCAGTTGACCAATCAACACAGGGCAGGCCCTCCAAGCCTGGAGGCACACCAATCCTGAGCCTGTGCGTACCCCTAGACACTCCTCTTACGCTGCCCTATAAGATCTCTATGCAGATGGGTCGAACTGTCTTTTCTAGCCATCTGCTATGGCGGGTGGATGAAAGACCCGTTAAACAACAATAAAGCCTCGTGCAGTTTGCATCAAGCTTTCCACTCAGCCCGGTGATTGGGGTGGCCTCGGTCCTGGGCTGAGATCCCAGAGGCCTGAGCTTTCCAGGGGGTCTTACAAAGGAACCCTGGAACAG